GTCGAAAGGTGGTGTTATGCTGCTTGATTGACCAACACCCCTCAACAGCAGACCGTTTGCTTTCAAGGGCGCCGCCGTGTTACGTTTTTCAGAGATGTTTTTCGGTGCGGGGCAAGGCCGGAGAGTTGACCCACAGCTTCTTTGGTTCAGCCCACTTGCCCACTTGCCTTCCGCGAGATAAACAGGATAGATTCTTTCTGTGTTGTCGAGAGCGTTTTGAAAGCCAAAGACTGGCACATCAATCGGACACATGAGTTGCGTCGATTCGTGTCCCTCTCACGCCAGTTCTGAAATGTGTGCGGGGCGGACGAACCTGCGTGATCACTCTTTCCTCGTTTGTCTATTTTGTGGGTCTGTTGCAGACATTTCCGGTTTTGCCCTGGCATGCGACCCCAGCCCCTGCTCATGTCTAGAAGCTTGCCACGTCTTCCAGCGAAGCGGACCCCGGTGCTAGCAGCTCCTTCAGGCCGTCGCGGCGGCCCTGGCGAAGCAGGATGCCCCGGGCGATGCGGCTGGAACCTTGGAGCGGGACACATGAGCCACGTGCTGAAAACCGATTCGGGTAGATGAAGGTAAGGGGCAGTCCCAAACAGAAATAGTGGCGGAACTCCGGCTTCTTAATTCTTGAAGCATCGTTCTGGGCGAAGACCATTTTGATATCTGGTTTTGATTGTGACTCACATGGGCAACAGCTTCCAGTGGCCCCATATGTTGCCGAATATTTTCCGCGCGCTTTGGGGAGCAAGCAGCGGCTGGGGGGGGAGCTGCAAGTTGATTCCCCGGCAGCTCGGATCACGTCATATCCAGCGAAGTAGCTCCCGTGGAAGGCTCATGTTTGATGCCGTCGCTCTTCCTTTGAGAGCCCCCATTCAGTTTTTCGAACATCTTCAATGCATGCCGTCCTCAGGCTGGTGTTTGGGCGCACTAGATTTTAGAGCTTTAGAGCTAGAGCATCGACGGGACATGGCGGAGTCAACATCAAGCGACGCAATAAGCTGCCCACAACGCAACAGTCATATCATAGCGCGTGCCGCAGGCAGCGGCAGTGGCACCGACAGCTGGCCAGCAAGCACGACACTTAAAAAAATATGAACTCCAGGGCAGAATTTCTATGAATTTCTCTGGCTTCACAGCGCGGGGGGTCAACGTAGTTTAGGCATCACACTGCGCTTCAAGCCTCTTTTCCTGGGCTTGTCGCAAAAAACTTGGCCGTTTTCGGCAACCCAGGCAGCCAAAAGGGCAACGTCAACCTTCTGCCGTGTTGCCATCGGAGGTGCCGGCGCGCGATGAGACGCTGAGCAATGCGGTGGAGGCGGGATGGCAAGGGGAGTGGCCATAGGTGTCTTTTTGATCGGTTAGTTTGTTTAAAAATAGATGGGTTCCACAGGTTTCGGTGGGGTTTCTTCCATTTACCAGGGAACCCATCTATTTTTCCAAAAGGCTACCTATGGGAATGGCCCATCGGAGAATGAGTGCAGAAAAGACCATGAGCTTCTGGCGAAAGGAAGCCGAGCAGCTCGATGGTGCTTGCGCTTCGCGTGGCACCGCGGCTCTAGGGGCGAAGCGAGGTGTAGGGCAACAGGCGACAGGCAGAGTTTTGGAGACTTCCGGGATTTGCAAAAGAACCGGTATTTGACGGAATGTCACTAGGTGCTCCTGGCTTTGTGCCGCACAGCATTTGACAGGGACTTAGCTCAGGCATGCTGCCAGCGGCGTGTAGAGCATATCTTTTCCCTGATTGCAAACGCTGCGCGCTGCCCGCCTCGGCCCAGCCGAGCGTGCAGCGTCTGCTGTTCGATTGCAAGCAGCAGAGCTGGTGCAGTGGCGATTCAGGAACGGACAGGTTCTGGCGTCGCTGGACCAATGAAGTTGCATCGGCCGAAGTGGCGAAGGAATCGCCGAGGCAAGGGCAAGGCAATGCATAGATCCAGGAGCGAGTCAGCGGATGTCATGCGAGGAAGTCGCGCAGAAACGCTCGACAACCAAAGCAGAGCATTTTGCGGTAGGTCAGTGTCAGAGCTGCTGTGAGGTCAGCGTCACCGCAGCGTCTGCGTCCACGGAACAGAGCTGTTGCGCAAGCACGCGGGGCCACGGCAGCGTCGGAGTCCATGGACCAGAGCTGCGGATCCGGCGCCGCGCGCCAGAGTTGTGGCAGCGTTTGCGTCCACGGACCGGAGCTGGTACGCTAGCAGGGCGGAACGTGCTGCAGTGTCTGAGTCCACGGACCGGATCTGCGGTGGAGCACAGCTTCTGCGTCCACGGACGAGAGCTGTTGCGTCAGGCGTGGGCAAGAGCCAGCGCAGCGTCTGTGTCCACAGACCGGAGCTGCTGCGCAAAATAGGGCGTCGAGTTGCGCGGTCCTAGAGCACGTGCGCGGGCTGGAGCTGCTGAAGCTGAGGCTTTTTGGAGCTTGAAGGGTAGGCTGGGCTTGCTGAGGGCTGAGGCCCAGTCAGTCCATTTACAACATATTTAACCTCTTGGGGCCAGCAGACATGGGTCAGGGGGGTGTTGGCCCAGCAAGCCCAGCTCAACCAGCATCCTACAGAGGCTACCATTCACACAGCAACCAGCAACCCGTCACACACAGCCCCCAGCCAGCACAATGCGCGGCAAGCGCAAAAAACTGAAAAGCAGGCCAGGCCTGTCTGACCTCTGCTGTCTGACGCCTGGCCAGCAGGAGGTCATGCTTCTCGGACCGGCAAAAAGCGGCCCATGGAATGTGGTGGTGGGGGCTGTCTGTGGCGGGTTGCTGGTGGCTGCTTGAATGTGTAGCCTCTGTGGGTTGGTAGTTGAGCTGGGCTTCGGACCCAAAAGGCTAGTTTTTGGCGATTTCTCAACAGCGGCCAAGCTGCCAAGGAACCTCGAAAATTTCAATGCCCGCCGGACAGGATCTCAGGGCCAGCAGACATGGGTTAGGTGGGGGGGGGCGCAGAAAATTTTGAGGGTTGGGGAAAAAGAAAAGCGAAGATTCCCTTTGGGCAACGAGATCTGAGCGCCCCTGGCCCCCTTGGGGCCGAGGCGAATTTGGCCCTTTTTGCTTTCTCCAGCTTTTTGCCCATGAGTCGTGGCCCTGATGGGTCAGAATTCAATTTCTAGTCCCTTCGGACGTTTGAATGGAAGAAATTTCATGGGACAAAGCGCTTGCCTGGCGCAGGAGTTGTCCATCCGCAGCTTGGAGTTGACAAGGTTACCATGGCACTGTTGATTTGGGGAGGACGCTTGGCCTTTTGTACCTCTTCTTTGTGGCGCCATCCAGGAAAATTCGTGGAGGCTTGAAGAAAAGGGACACCCAAAACGCAGCCCGTTGGACAATTCCCGCCAGGTGACAGCTCCGGCCACGCAGGCTATGCCGACGATGCGGCTGCCTCGACGTTCCGCGGTCGAGGTTCCGGGCAGTTCCGCGGGAGGAATGACACATTTAGGTCAGTTTGATTGAACATAGATGGCACTGGTTGCAGGTTGGTTCTAATCATTTACCAGTGCCGTCTTTTTTGTACCAACCGTCGTGCCCCTTGTAGCCGCCCGCGCCCGTTTTCGAATCCCTGCAAATTATGCCGCGCTTGCGAATACTTCGCGGCTTTCTGGCTGAACGCTGGGGATTGGTGCCACCATTCCTGCCAAGTCAAACGGCCCTCTTGCCCAAGCACCGCCCTCTTGCCCGTTACCAGCATGAGGTGTCCTGCGGCCTGCGGCCTGCACACGCTGTTGGTGTGAAGGACACCCTTCGAAAGACGACCAACAGGAAAGAAACGGGTGTCCTGGTTTCCAGTGACCATTGGGCAAGTAAACATGTACGCATGAAGTACAGTCAAGCTTCAGAGCCATTGACTGCTGATGGAAGATCATTGGGGAAGCGAGGAGTGCAGACCCAAAAGCAGACCCCAGCATCATTCAACAACCTGCACCTTTAGAATGGCTCCTGAATCTGCATCAAAATCAATCAGGCTTTCTTGACTTGGCTGCTATTTGTCAGGATCTTTGACTCTTTTTAAGTTATTGGGACAATGTGTGTGTGTGTGTGTGTGTGCGCGTGTGTTTTTCACTAATCAGCCAAACGTGTTCTTGTTTCCCATAAAGGCAAAGGCCACACACAGTTGATTCTGGGGGCCCCACTGATGGTTCAATGCTTGGATCTTGGAAAGTTCGGCTTGTGGTAAGTGACCGGCGCAAACGTCACGTCATGGGACCCCAACGGTTGCCACCCTAGCCGTTTCGTTTGTTTCCGTATGGGCTAACCCTCCTCCCCCCGTTTTTTTTTCTTCTTCGATTTTCACCGAGCCAAAGGGAGATCCATCTTGGGCCAAGGTCGGGCTTCTGCAGCAAGAAGAAGGGCCACTGTGTTCGCCTCTCCGAGGAGCCGTCATAGAGCGAGGCGTGCTGAAGACCCAATCCTGGCCGAAGCTTGCAGACGACCCCGAAGCCAAGCCCAAACCCGCCTTCAAACCCGCCCTCGGACAAAGCCCTGAGCGGGTCCAAGCTGGTTCCTACCAAGCCGCCAGTTCGCGCGGTGCTTTGTAAGCTCCAGCCCACCACCAAGCCCTTAGCCAAGTCTACCGAGTTCACCCGAGGTGCGAAGGATAGGGGCAAGCATTCCTGCTTTGAGGCCACGTGCGAGCATGGGACCCCTCCGAATGGTTTGGCCATTCAAGTCTCCGTTTCAGGATCCAACTCCCGGTTCGTTTTGCCGTGCCGATGACATGGAACCTGCCATGAGATTTGGACCAGTTAGAATCACACATTGCTCGGTACGTGTTTAGCTTGGGAGGTTGCGAGGTGATGTTCTGTCAGAACTGTTTGCAGCGAGTGCTGAGGTTGGTGGGGCTGGATCGCCTGATACCTTTTCCGGTGTTTTCCTTGCACGCTCATTCGTCTGCTTGCTTGATTGCTTGCTTTGCCTTGCCTTGCCCTGCTTTGCTTTGCTTTGCTTGGCGCCTTGCTTTGCTTTGCCTTGCCTTGAATTGCTTTACTTTGCATTGCTTGCCGCCGGGCACCGGCAGTTCTATCAGAAGCTTTTGCTTCGACCGACTGGCGGGGGGCAGGACCTGCTCAGCGCCAGCTACACTGGGCAGACGGGGCCCGGAAGCCACAGCAGACGTGGCCGTCTTTGCTTGAGACCACTTGTTTGGTGCTTTGAAAGGGAGACTGAGAGGACAACCGAAGCCATTTGGGCGCCGGAGCGGGGGGGTTCCCCTGAAAAAGGCGAGCCGGCCATGTCACGCTTTGAAGCTAAACAGGGAACCCCGTCTTTTAGGTGGCATCGATCTGCACTGAATTCTGATGTCCACTAAGGGGCCCCTATAATTAAACATCATTCCAATGTGTGAGGGTTCTTCAACGTGGTTAAGCAACCAACATGCAGTGGTTCCAAGAAGTACTCTCAAAGCAAGTGGTTCTCTCACCCAAGGATGCTGGTCCCCTTCAAAATATGGACAATGGCCAATAGACCTGCACTGTTTCATACGTCATAAGGGCTTCTATCAAGGAACCCTAGGCATGTTAATTAGAAGGAGTTTTGATCAGTGGCGTACGTCAGTCCGCCTTTCAAAGGGCCCCAAACTGGTCCGCAATTTTGCCAACCACGAGTCGCCGTCTTTCCCTCTTGGGTGGTTCGGACACCTTGCAGTTGCCAATGCTGGTGCTTTGGTGGGCCAGCTGAACCCCACGAGTGTTAGGTTAGTTTCAGTCGGGGCAGACGGAAAACATGATCCATCAAGGGTTTTGCCTTGGACAAGTACGGGCCTCCACATCGGGAAGTTGCTCGTAATGTCGACTCCCATTCGAGACCCGCTTTCAATGGTGTCCAGCTGGGTTTGATGCGTGCCTTGGTGCCGAAGGAGCGCTTGGTCCCGGCTCTTGAGGGAAGTCTGGGTCCAATACTTGGGGTGAACGCGTGGTTTGGAAAGTGGTGATTGAGGCATTGTGTGGTGCTACAGCTTGACTTGGCTGTGGGTCAAGAATGGGTACCCAAAAATGGAAGCCTGGCAAATGGAACCAAGGACTCAAATCTGCCGTCCCCTGGTGGTTTAATTTTGACCCACACCCACTTGTTGATGTTGGGTTTTGAGCATATGGGGTTGCCCCAAAGGGAAGCCACCGGACCCCCCCATGGCAAGTTGCAGACTCCCATGTGAGCTGGACAGTGCATTGCCCACGCCTCGCTGCATCCCTCGCTTCCACAAGGTCTTGCGATTGGGCTTTTTGGGGAAAGACCGACCAGCTGACCCGTGACACAGAACCAAAGTTGCCAGCAAACGCGAAGGGCGAGAGGGCTGCCGCCCTTCTGGCTTCCTTCAAACACAAAAACGGGGTCCCCATGGTCCTCATGACCACTCAGTCGAGTTAAGGTGCAGCTAGTCAAGAACGGGTGGCTTCCTTTAAACACAAAGACGGGGTCCCCAAGTTTGGGGCAAGAGGCTTAGCTGTCCAAGGCATGAGATGCACGGGGGCCTCATTGGCAACCATCCGCAGGGGGGCTCAGATTTGGGGTCACCTGCATGCTTCTAAGGGTTGCTTCCCCATCCTCTCCAGGGATCCTTCTTGGGAGAACAGCTGGTTTTTGCAAAGAACGATGGTTGAAAATAATGGTTGGAATCAAGCCCTAGAATGCTCACTTCGCGCCTTTTTGAGCAGGCGTTGGATGGTTGGCTTGGCAAACCTTTGGTGCGCGCGGAATGAACATGAGATTCTCTCGAAGCGACGGCACCCACTTGAACAGGAAACCATTCCATAAAGAGTATCTAGCTGGCTGGAACATAGCTGTGCCGCTGTTGTTCTCCACAAAAGCAAAGAGCATATCCTGTTTGCTGGAGGACTCCCTCCATGTTCGAATGCGACCAGCAACAAGCCGAATAGACAGTGCACATTGCTGAACAATGATACACCCCATGAAGTTCTTGGAATTGGCAGCTTTGGCACGTCCATTACTGAGGATCAGCCCGCTACTCCCTTCAGATTGATTCACAGGGAACCCAACAAGCCATCACTAGAGGAACATCTTTGTCAAGGGTAGTCTCTCTCAGGGTGCCATGTTTGTTCTTGCAACGTGAGGGTTCCATTTTTTGCCGCCCCCTTGTTTCACGGTCGGGACCCCCGACCCTCGAGGTTGGCGGTACAGCCCGGGAGCGTGGTCTTCTTCGCGGTGGAGCTCACGAAGATCCGGGAGAACATGATGGACGGCCCCGGAGCCCAGCGATCGGAGCGGCTCACTTCCAACGAGCTCCTGTTCCTGGGGACTGCAAACTGTCCGTAAGCTGTTCATAGGGACTGCGAACCAACCACCTATGAACCACTTCACCAATTCACCAATTCACCAATTAGCCAATCAGCGAATCAACCAATTAACCAATTCACCAATTAATTAACCAATAAACCAATTAACCAATTAACCAATTAAGCAACCAACCAACCAACCAACCAGCCAACCAGCCAGTCAGCCAGCCAACCAACCAACGAACCAACCAACCAACCAACCAACCAACCAACCAACCAACCAACCAGGACTTGAGTTACTTTTTGGGTTTGGAACATTGTGGCCAACAAACAGTTCCAGAACTTTGCTTGGATCCCTCGGCAAGTGAGCTGGCGACAAATTGGAGGTGCTTGGACGGCCGCTATAAGTTTTTCCCTTTTCAGGCGGTTTAAACATCACCTGTTGTTTGCCACCTTTAGAACAACTTTCTCATGGAGTGATGTTTCAGGGGGAAAAAGGCGGGATGCATGGCTGACTGCCGGACTTTGGGGGATCGAACGGGTCCCCCAGAGCCTAAGGTCTGACGGTGGGCATCACTACCAACTCTCCGGGAGATCTCGATGAGATGCCGGACACCATCGATGGAGTTCAGGCGGAGCGCTTCCGCTGCATGGGCCGTGCAGCCTCTGCAAGTCCAAGGTTAACATGTTTTTGTTCCAGTCAGCCACTGGCAGAGCTGAATCTCAGTGCAAAACCTTTGGCTGTTATTTACCAAAACTTCACTTACACAACATGGCCAGTGCACTGTGAGAGGCCACGCAAACACTGTTTTCGGCTTTCCGGCCCAAGGATATCATCAGTCGTCCGAATGTGCTTGATTGGCGAGGTTGCTTGTTTTTATCCTGTACGGAAAGGACATCCCAAAAGCCCTGCCCAGCACGTGTGCACATCTCAAAATGGCGGACTTTCTTTGCCATGCTGGGTTTGCGAAGCCTCCAGGGCTGCAGTGGAAGGAAGGAAGCTGCACAGAGGGGTGCTTCCTCACTCTCCATGAGAAGCAGAAGACCATGGTTTTGAAGAGTGACTCTGGCCACCATTGTGTCCCATCTTGGTTCGTTTCTATTTGCTTAGACGGCCCTTGTGGTTCATTTTTTGGTTAGAGGCTGCCACAATTGGCACATGTGTTCCGGCATTTTGGGCATTCACCCATTGATTGTAGAGACTACCCATTTCTCCCTTGGTGGATCTTCTAAAGAGAAGGATCCCGGAGATGAAATCTCGAGAGGACCTCCACTTCTCTTCCTGGCCATTCATCTCTATCATTCTTGTTGCACATCCTAAAGTAATTTGGCCGTGGCTCAAAAAACCGGTACCCAAATGGAACCCTGGTAAGTGAAAACATGGACCAAAACCTGCGGTTTGCCCCTCCGATCGTTTAATTTTGAGCACCACCCATTTGTAGATGAGCGAAGGAAAATGAGTGGGATAGAATGTGGTGATACTTCCGGACTTAATGTTGACCCAGGATTAATAAACCCGTCCCATCATCAGGGGGGTGTTCCCTCTAAACGTGGTCTGAATCCCCACAAAAAGGAATTGGACACCCCCCAATCAAAATCAACCAGGGTAATCCGGAGTTAACATGGAAAATGTCCCCTACGGAAAATGGTCTTCCAGGCACTTCCGATTCGCTCGCTCGTGGGAGGCCTGCTGGACAGCGGGCTACGACGGCCAGATCTATGACGCCCCGCAGGACCGGTGGACGGATCTCGCGTGGCACGGCCGGGGCGCCGAAAATCCGAGGACGACCGCGGTCGAAGCGGACGGGGTGTTGCCTAAAGTTGTGACTTGGACCTCAGGAAATGACACTTGGGTCTTTATTCAAGTTTTCGCTTGAGCAGGGAAAGGAGAGCAAGAAGGATGTATGGCCATCAGATCAGCCATGGCCCGGGGTTTTCAGCTCAGCTCTCTCTCTCTCTCTCTCTCTCTCTCTCTCTCTCTCTCTCTCTCTCTCTCTCTCTTTGTCTCTCTCTCTCTCTCTATATATATAGTATGGGGGTTTCTCAAAAAAGACACCAGAGATTTTCAGCTCAGCTCTCTATACTGCATGGGGGTTTGTCAAAAACAGTGGCCCCCCGAAAATGCTTGGTTTCTGAACCCAAGGAAGCGCAACGCCCTGCCGAGGCCGTGACCTCCGCGTGGGCGACCGTCTGGGCGTCCTTGTGGAGGCCCGCACCGCTGCGTTGCTGCTGCCCCCCCGACCCCCCGCCGTGGAGAGTGTGTGTGTGTGTGTGCATGTGTTACTGATAGGCGGTGTGTTTGTTTGTTTGTTTGTTTGTTTGTTTGTTTGTTTGTTTGTTTGTTTGCTTGCTTGCTTGCTTGCTTGCTTGCTGGCTGGCTGGCTGGCTCGCTGGCTCGCTGGCTCGCTGGCTCGCTGGCTCGCTCGCTCGCTTGCTCGCTTGCTTGCTTGTTTGCTTGCTTGTTTGCTTGCTTGCTTGCTTGCTTGCTTGCTTGCTTGCTTGCTTGCTTGCTTTTTTTGTTTGTTTGTGTCTATGTGCGCGTGTGTTTTTGGAGGTACCTATTTCTTCTTGTTCACCTTGTTTGAAAGGGACACCGAAAGGACATCTGAAGTCCATTTCGCGCATGAGTTTGTTTCGACCTGGAAGCATCCGAACATACCGCTGCAGAATCCGAACCCTAGATCGCCAGGTTGGCCAGTTGACTTGCAGGTACGGTTCGGGGGTGCAGTTTTTCGAGGAAGCCCAAAGCTGCGGGTGGGCTGCCCCCCATTTGGAGACAAGCAGACAAGCCTAGATTCACAGCCCCACTTTTCTTCAGAGGCCCAAAGGCACCTGGAACAGAAATATCCCCCCCCCCCCCCGGATGAGGTCAACCGGCCAAGCCAACCAAATCACCGGAACCCAACAAATCACTGGGGCCCCAAACACCGTCCCGGTCGCGCGTACCGGCCAGGCGGGCCGCATGAAGATCTTCGTGCGCCGCGCCCGGATTTTTTTCGCCCCGGTCGTACCTGGAGGGATGGTCGAGGAACCATTTGGCTATGGGCCAAAACCAATGGGATCCCATTTTGGGGTAGGTGCACCACCCATGTTAGAACCTACTTTAGTGGGGATTGCGATGTTCACCCATGGCCATTTGGGGTTGTCTCAAGATAGGATTTTGACCCCCCCCAAAAAAAATCACGGCATCCTTTTGGTTTCCATTTCAAGCCATCCCAAAGGGGTACCCCCAAAAAGCACACCCATTCGGTGCAGAGGTGACCTTTGCACGCCCTTTTCAGGAGGAAAAGGAGGAGAACCCTCTTTCCGCAAAGAGGTCAGAAGTGAACGTCAATGTGTGGTTGGGATGCTAGACTGGACGGCTCTTTTCGTTACCTCCCGAAAAGAAACGAGCAGGAAGGATTTTGGCCCGTAGGACATCTTTCTACAAGGACCAGGACAAACTCACGGTCAGGTTTCTTCCATTTGTCGTTGGGAGGTTCCTGGTTTCCTTAGGGACGACATCGCTCTAACAAGTCTTAGGATCACTATGTGTCCTTTTTGCTTTGGTGAGAAATACATGGTTCCTGGTTTAGAGTTTCATACACAATTTCCCAGGGAAACCCATGGGATTTGTCCAAAGTGCTAGGGGTAGCTTCCCCATTCTTTCCAGGCATCCTTCTTTCTAAGAAACCACCCAACCCCCTGAAGAAACAGCTGGTTTTTGAAAATAACGATGGTTGAAAAGAATGGAACAGGAATCCACCCCTAGAATGTTAAGTTGCAGGGACGTGAGGGTTCCATTTTTCCCCGCCCCCTCGTTTCACCGCCTTTTTTTGGAGTCCACCCCCAGAAAAATCGGTCACTGCTTCCTGGGGGCGGGTCTCCGAGGAACAAGGAGCTGGCGGCAACGGCCCACGAAAACATCCCTGAGAGGCCAGCGGAAGGGTTTGGGGAGGGTCCGGATGGGCGGCTTGGGCGGTTCGGGCTTGGGAGGTTTGGGATGGGATTTGGGCGGGTTGGATGGCTTGGGAGGGTTGTGGTTTAGGTGGCTTGGGAGGGTTTGGGCGGGTTGGATGGCTTGGGAGGGTTGTGGCTTAGGTGGCTTGGGAGGGTTTGGGCGGGTTGGGTGGTTTGGGCGGGTCTCAAAATCACTCCACGCGTTGCAGGTGTTGTGCCCTCGTGAAGACTCGGTAATCCACAGTTTTGAGTGAACGTCACGAAGCGATTCGGCGCCTTGGGTGGGGTGGTACGATATGGTGTTTTCCACTTTTGACAGGTTTCCATGCAACCGGGGCTGGACCAAGGTGAAGTTAAGCGACATGATGAATCTGAGCGAGTGGTCCTGGCTGTGATTCCGGTTGACTTGAGATCCTTGAAAGAGGCCACGTGCTTCACTTGATCGTACAAGGTACCCGAGAACTTCTTGAAATGATTGACACACCACCCCACTTGCTTCACAGCTTGCCAGAGTTTTGACGATCCAAGAAGCATGAGCTCTCTCCTGGCGACCAGCCTCACATGTGCGGTGATCCCTGGTTTCAAGGATGATCAAATCTGAGGCAAAGCCTCACAGCGGGCAAGTTCGAGCGGTTTCACGCGCTTGAAACAGACGGCCATAGCCATGAACAGCCACAGCATTTCTATGCTTCTGCCTGGTGTGGACATGTTGTGGCGGTTCACGGCTTTAAGCACAACATCGCCTTCGCATCACCAGGAAATGATCACGACCTTGCACCCATACACTGAGGATCCGCCGAACGACACGTTAGAGGCTCCTGTTGATGCAGAGGAAACCCCAGATGGCGCAGGAGGGGCACGGCTCTGATTGGTCTCTCCCTGTCGATGTTCATCAAGATGGAGAAAGAATCAGATCCGCGCCAACTTTTCACCAAGAGCGATTGTGAGGTGCTCATGTTGGGAGTTCTGACCATGCACAGCCCATTATGTGGATAAAACCGCGTTCACGTTTTCAAGCGACAGTTTGCTCTCAATCGGCCTGGGCGAGTGGTTTCGTGGCGGACACATAATCGTCGCAACCTCCTTTTGGCGAGCACAGCCCCCCTGACAAAGCGGGAACATTGTGCGGATCTGCCTGGGTTCTTAAATGGTGTTGACCATTTGCGCCAAGAGGAGGATGACACCCCAAGATTGAAAATGCAAAGATCCAGCGCCTGAATCGCCTTTTCCTAGTCAAACGGCCGTTTGACTCAAAATGCAAAGATCCAGCCGTAGGAATCGTTTTGACACACCAACCACTGCCAGCGAGGCCGCTCTACGCGCTTGTGGACCTCATTGGCTCCGCAGAGGGCGCTGGGGCGCCTAGTGAGAGGTGTCCGGGCGGGTGACGGGTGAGTGTAGGCTTCTAGGGGTGCAGTTGCACGCTTCTAACGGTTCCCTTGCCATATGCGCGTTTCTCAAAAATTGCCCCCCCCCCCCCCCCTCCCCCGCCCCCGGCAAGTAGGGGGTTTCCTTCTGGTTTCCTTTTAAGTCTATTCAACAAGGGGTCCATTTCCTGTTTTGAGACACCCCAACATTTGCAAAGCCACACACAAAAGCAAACAAACAGACAACACCCCCGACACGTTGCAACCAGGTGAGGCTACTGCTGGACGAGCAGCCGCCAGCGGAGAGGGGCAGCAAGGGCAGGGGCAGCCCAGTTTCTTTCAAGCGCTTGTCTTCCAGTGGTAAGGCCAGCCCTTCCTCATTCTCTCCCATTCTCTCCATGCAGACCCAGTTGCCCAGTGGATTCTGCCAGCTTGTTTCAACCTTTTTTTTTTTGTGAAGAGGATGGGAATGTATCCTGAGAAACAGGGGAAGGGCCCACAACACAGCCTGGTTTGTCTTTTCCCGTATCGCCGAGAGAGGTATCGTCAAAAGGCCGTACCCATAATTCAAGCTGGACACCAGGGGCCATGTTCGAATTCATGAAAGGAGCCCAGCGGGTTTGCGCCTCGAGCCCAAACTGCATGAGCATTCAGCCATGCCAAAATAGGTAACTATCGTCACCATACGGTCTTTTAGGCTGCGTGCGACTGCGATGGGAGGGTCCTGGGAACTTCCAGGCTGCAACGGGATAGGGTGGAATGAGCACGACCACGCCCGCGCGGAAATTGCATCGGGTTGCTTCTCAGGGCGAATTTTCGGTTGGCACATCGAATAGTGTCAAGGCTCAGGGCTAGTTGGAGCTTCAAGCTCAGTTGGGTATGGGTCAAAATGAAGCCACCAGGATATGGACGGCACATGTTTAGTCCCTGGTTCCATTTACCGATCGGGGTTGCCCCCATTTAGGGCTTAGCCAATTTTTGACCACCACCGCCATTTCTCTTTCCAACTCCGACCATGTAACCGCTATTGCACCCATAAAGATTCCGGGATTTGTGAATGCCGCCGCTGTGGATGTGCTTTTCTGGGTTTTTTGAATGCACCCCTTCAGCACCCAACCGCTTCCCTGGGCTTTTTGAAGGCCATGCCGCTGGGGGAAAGAGAAAAAAAGCCAACTGGTCCGTGGCCTTTGAGGCGTATCTGCGCCGCGGCCTTCAGAGGCCCGCGACACACCGCGTTTTTTTTCTTCAACCCTTCAGTTCCTGGGAGTCGGATTCCCTTTAAATCGGTGGGATGCACCGCGTGTTTTTTTTCTTCTTTCTTTTTCGGGGCCTGGGCTGGGTCTCCCAGCATGGTGCCCTTTCTCACCCCTTTTTTTTGGTTGGGAGGGTTCCCCTACGAAATAGACCGCAGAAAAGGAAGACACGGTACCAACGGTGGGATCTCCCTGACTTCCTCGGAGTCGGAGTCCCTGAGCATCGCTGGGATTAGTTTTTTGGAGGCATGCCAAGCTTGTTCCCAAGCATGCCCTTGGGGCGTTTGACATCCTTCCGACGTTTGGCGGCTTCCCCTTTCCACATGATGAGATTTTGGTTTAGCTCGGCCATCGACACACTGTCAGATTGCTTTGGTGTGCAATGGATCCTGAGTTGGGGCAGCTTGCTGTGAGCAGTTTGGCTGGTTCAAATTTGATCTGCTGGGCGCTGGTGTACGTTCTTGGACAATCCCAAGAATTCAGAGTCTTCCGGTGAAACTTAGGGGGAAGAGTTGGACGACCACACCTCATCCAAAGGATAAGTGACCTTTTGCCATCTGCAAAATACCCATGCCGAGGTTTGATTATGAACGTCGGGAGGTTTCAATTTTGCATTCACTGCTGACATGGCTGTGAGCAAAAATAGGCACCCAAAATGGAACCCTGGTAAATGGAAAACATGACGAAATTCCGCGGTCCCTGGTGGTTTAATATTGGCTCATACCCATTTGTTGCCTCCAGTGAACACATGGTGTTCCAGAATCGGAAAGGCTCAAACGCAGCCCAGGTGGTGCTGAAGCCGGTGATGGAGGGCTGGTGCCGATCCAGGCACGGACGTCCTGCGCAGATCCAATTTGGGGTAGGTGCACCACCCATTTTAGTCTATTTTAGTGGGGATTGGGATGTTCACTGGGGGTACGGGATTTTGACCCATGGCCAATTTGCGGTCATTGTGTCTTTCAGCCGTTTGTTTTGGAAGTTCCGTTTCCTTAGATGTGCAAGCTCGCCATTCTGCTGCTAGGCCATTCTCCGCGAGCTGTTCGACTTGCATGTTTGTTCTTATTAGTGCTACTGGCCTGAAAGCTGCCAAGCCCCTTGGGCCAAAGCACGCCCAGAAGCAACCTTTGCAGGGATGCCTTACTGCTTCTGCAGTCAGACGACTCAAACCTCGCAGGGATCGTTCTGCCACAAAAACCCGGGCGCTACCTCAAATGGCAACTTGACAATCCGATCGCGGTCACGGGATCTTGAGACGGATATGTCCTCGATGTTACTCCTACGGAGCTGTCGAAAAGCAGCACCACACTGGCATGAAACCTTTGGGCTCGCTTGGATTGGCTCCTTTTTGGTTTGCGGCCTTGGATTTTCAGTTCCCAGTTTCCAGTAGAGTGGGAAACCATCACAGTTTCCGTGTGGCGTTCAAAGTGGTTCCCTTGGTGCTTGGGCCGTCGTTTTGGGACACCCAGACCTTTTTCCAGGGGTTGATTCCCCATTCTTTTCGACCATCGTTCTTTTGGATCACCGGATCCGTTTCCCATGAATTGTGAGGGTTTCCTGAAAAAGAAGGATCCCTGGAAAGAATGGACATGGAAGCTTCCCCTAGACCCCTTGGCTTGAGGCTGGGGCGGATGGTGGAAGTCTCAGAGGACGGGCTCACGGCGAAGTACAGCTCCAGGCGTCGCGGGGTGCTTTCCGAGGTCGGGGGTGCGAGAGCGAGGCCGGGTGACCGTTTAGGATTCTCTCAAAAGGACAGCCCCACATGGGTGAACCGTTTTTCGGGGCTCCTTCCGCTGGGAAGGCGGCAGTTCTATCATTATTGTTTATCCTTTAGGCCAACTTACGTAGACATATCATACCTGTAGGCCTTATATAGGCAATTCATGGCAATTCTTTTTGGGGTATGTACCCTGTATAACCCATGTAGAAGCACTAGTTTTGGATTTTCGTGACCCAGGGTGCTGGGAATGAAACGTATGGGATTCCCTTAAAGGAACCCACAATTCCCTCATTCACCCTAAAAGGTTCACCTTTTAGTTCCAGGTCCTTTGAGCAACTGAGTTAAAGGTTTTCGTCATGTTTCGTTGTTCCAGCAAGGATTTGCGGAATGTACATATGCTCAGCCTCTTCTTGTCGGGGCAATGCTCAGCCTCTTCTTGTCGGTGCAAAATGCAGCGGGATGCACGCGGCAGAAAGCGCCTAGTTTGGACTGGTAATGTTTATTGCCAGGCGAAACAGCCGGCGTGTTTTGAGCCGATTTTTCAGGGGAAGAGCATATGTCTCATCTCTTTTCAAGCGTCGTGAGTCAAGACCTGGCAACATTCCAAGACTTCCTGCGGACCAGGGGCAAAAACAATTCCGCGCTGATGCTCATCTTTTGCCTGTTTCGTAGGCTCGCGCCCGCTTATGCGAATCTTGTGTTTGCCTGTTTCCTAGGCTCGCACCCGGATTTGGCCTTTGGGTCAAGAAGCCAACCCGCCCGAATTCCATGCCTCGCAGCAGCTACGCGCTGCACGGCGGCCTCATCGGGGACGGCCCCTTGCGCGCCTTCGAGGACTGCGTGGCGGCTCAGACGGGGTGATCGGTTCGTTTGAGTCAAGCATAGATGGGTTCCACTGGTTTAGCCGGGGTTTCTTCCATTTGCCAGGAAACCCATCGATTTTTCACCTGTGCTTCGGCCCACCATATGGTCCCCAGGTCGTCGAATTGGTTCCTTTTGGATTTCCGCAAGCCAGAAGCTGCAAACTCCGTACTTGGTGACTTGTTTTTTTTGAGCAAACAAGCATGAGAGGAGCCCATCCGGTGTGCCTCGCGTGGCGTGGCATCTCTTTGCACTGATGAAGAGTTACGGGTGCTCATTTGTAGCCGCCACACCGGTTATTGGTTCATGGAGGCCAACCAGCATAGCCAAAGGATGTCTCGTGCCTTGCAAGCTCCAGCTTGAGATATATTCTCTGTGGTGCAAGCAAAGCGATTTGACCCGCATCAAGCTCACTTGAGGCATTGCCCCCAATGGACCCGAACTCAACCTTTGAGGCCATAGCTCTCACAATGTTGTGTTCTCAGGGGGCATTATTCATGATGTACTCCATGTATCCGAACTCAACCTTGGGGGTAGGGATTTGAGCTCTCACACCCTTCGGCATCCACATAAACATCGCGCCATCAGTCCTGGCTCCATCGGGTGCAGGCCGCCAGGCAGGAGAGTGAAGTGACACTCCCGGATGAATCAGGTTCTCTTTGAGCGGTTCTGCCGAAGAAATCCGAAGCCGGACAATGCGCCGCCTAGCCCTATCAAGCTTGCTGCCATGGCTATCAACCCCCCCAATTTCAATCAAGCTCGCTGCTAGGAGGGTGGCGCCCAGACACTTCCCACTTCCGATGCCCGGGTTCTCGAAAGCTCCCAAAAGAGAAGAGGGAGGCTGCTGCCCTGAGCTTTTTTCGGCGGCGCGAGGCAGATGGGGCTGGCTCAATACTCCCTTCGGCCCCCAAATGACGGGGTAACTTTTCCCATTTAGTGGGACTTTACATCATTTTGGTGGTTTTCCGCAATGGTCATCCCATGTAAAGGACCTTCTGATCAACCTCCCCTATATTTACAGGTGTCTAAGGATCAAAACGAAAGAGCACAAGGGCAGGTGCCTTCGTTCCATCTCCTTCGGTGGCCGGCATAGACTTTGTTGCGTGAGCGCAACGCTTCAGCCTCAGCTCCAAGGATCCAGTTTTATCCTTGGA